CCAACTCGACCTGCGGCCTCCCTCGAGATGACGCTTTTCACATTTTCAGAGACCCGGTGAACTCTGACCTGCCCTGGCCTGGTGTCATCATCGGCATGTCCGTCCCCTCCATGTGGTATTGGTGTTCTGATCAGGTACTGCAATAAGTTTATTTTTGAACATACAAAAACATTTATCTGCCTTGAGCTTCTTCGTGTTTACATATAACCATGATGCAAACTCTTGTGTACTTGCAATGTATTTTATTATTTTACCTGACAAACCAATGCCAAGTATCATAATTAAAAATTATGCTGTTTTCAAAATCTACTATTGTATTCAGTCTTCCTAAGCAAAAACTGTATTGCTTCAATTACAACTGCAGGTCTTTAGGGGGTGTTTCTACCATCTTTGTACATTCGGAGAGTGAAAATGTTGTCAGTTCTCTAAAAAATATCTCAAATTTATGGAGAATCTCATTAGGTCCTGCTATGTGCTCGCTTTACCTCTGAGCTTTGACACATGAATGTGCTGTCAACTGAAAGCCTATTTATGTGTATTAAAGCAAATGATTCAAAGTACACAAAGCTGAATACTGAGTACATTTGCTTTAGCAGTGAAATAAATGTTTCCGTTGTAATTTTTGTTTCTTTTGAGTAAAGCAGAGTTGTAGTATGAAAAGAAGTAGACTTAATGAATGGTGAAGTACAAAATTATGTTTAAGAATCATGATTTCTAGAATAAACATTTTAAATTTGTGTAAAAAAAGTGGAAGTTTTTCATCTTTTAAAGACTGAATGAAAACTTCCATTTATTTATGTGCTAAAAGTTTCTCCTGGATTTAGCTTGTTGACATATTTTTCTGTTAAAAACTTTCCACTTCACAGTATTAGTGACCTAAGAGAAAAATGCACTCGTAGTTCAACTGATCATTTACTGACTTACCAGTCAAGTGACAACATTGGGTTATAGGATTACTATTCCCATTCTGATTTATGCAAAATGGATTCTTCCAACAAAAATCCAAGTTATTCATTCACCAAAGCCAGGAAGCTAAGAGTTTTTCTTGGATCTCTGCAGGTGATTGTGCAGCGCTCTCTGGCTGCAAAGACTTTGACCCAGGCTAAGGGGGGATCTCTTCTGGCTGCATACCTGAAAGTTCTGCCTTTCTTTGCCATCATGCTCCCCGGGTTGATCAGCAGGATCCTCTACACAGGTACAGATTGGGATGTTAGGGGCTCAGTCAGGGTATTTCCCTGTTTCATTGTGTTCCCTGGATGATGTTGTGTCTAGATGAAGTGGCGTGTGCAGACCCTGACTTGTGTAAACAGATTTGTGGGAACTCAGTGGGCTGTTCAGACATTGCGTATGCCAAACTGGTTATGGAGCTTCTCCCTGCAGGTGAGACGCTGTTTCTGCCGTTACTCTCCCTCTTCTCCATCGTCCTTTCGCACAGACAGTTCCCTACTTGCCGCTCTTCCTTCTTAGGACTGCGAGGACTCATGATGGCGGTGATGATTGCTGCTCTCATGTCGTCTCTGACCTCCATCTTCAACAGCTCCAGTACCATTTTCACCATGGATTTATGGAAGAGCTTCAGATCTCGTGCTTCTGAATGGGAGCTCATGATTGTGGGGAGGTATGACACACTGTATCATCCGAGCAAAGAACAGAAACTCAACTTATGAAAAGATTTTATTTTATAGAGAAGAAATAAAGCTTGATATATGGTCGTTTTGTCCATCTAACTCTCTACACACCAAAGTATTCATTCCCCTGGAACCATGCATATCAGTTCAGCAGATAGCTAATTTGTTTATTTAAGGCATTAAACCACATGTTGACCCTGCAGAATGTTTGTGCTCGTCCTGGTGGCGGTGTCAGTACTCTGGATTCCTGTCGTCCAGGCCAGTCAGGGTGGCCAGCTCTTCATCTACATCCAGTCCATTAGCACCTACCTGCAGCCCCCTGTAAGCATCATCTTCCTCATGGGCTGCCTCTGGAAGAGGACTAATGAGCAAGTGAGGAGCTTAATCATCAGACTGCGTTTAAAAATGAGCCCTTTTGTTCCATTTTGCTTATGGGTTTGTTTTGTCGTGCAGGGCGCCTTCTGGGGTCTCGCTATTGGTCTCACAGTGGGCTGCATACGCATGTTGTTGGACTTCATCTACCCTGCACCACTGTGCTTTGAAGAAGACAACAGACCCGGCGTGCTGAAATATGTCCATTACCTCTACTTCTCTATGCTGCTGTCCTTCATCACCCTGGCTGTGGTGGTTGTAGTCAGTCTGGCTACCGAGGAGCCCAGTCCGGAACAGGTGAAGCAGCATTCTGGATTTTTATTAGCTGGTTCTTTGTTTGCAAACCTCAAAGAAATAAAATCATTTACTGGTAGCATCTCTAGGTGTCAAAAATGTGCTAAGATACAGGCAGACTCCAGCTGTGACATGTTCTTACTACTTCGCTTTCTAAACAGATAAGTCGTCTCACTTGGTTCACAAGGTTTGATCCGGTGAAGCCAAAAGAGCAAGAGATCCCAGAAGAACACAGAAGTACAGAAAGCAGAAATGGACAAGCCCTTGATAAAAGTAGAGGTCTGTCTCTACTGCACATCTCCCAACTTCTGCTTCCAAACTGATGAGTTAACACTATTTTTTACTGACCTCTGCAGACTCAGCTTCGTCTGTGTCCAGTCCTCCCAGTCAGTCCAGGTTCATGTCTGCCATCTACTGGTTGTGTGGGATGGAAAGACGAAGTGAGGCGGACAACAACACTGTGGCCCCGCCTGAGCCTGAGCAGATCATCTGCACTCTGGATGAAAAGCCAAGTCTACGGCACCTTGTCAACGCCAACCTCATCATTTGCCTCTCGGTAACGGTCTTCATCATCGGCTACTGGGCTTGAAGGGAAGAACTCCAAACTTTACAGAAGTATTCCTATCCCCTCAGACTGTTTCACGATGCAACCACAAACTTCAATCAATTTTATTGGTCCCTTAGACAAATGTGAATAAAAACATTTTATAGCATGACCTGCATTTCTATTCACCTCCTCCCCTTACTTTGACACCCCTAAATTAAAACCGATTGCCTCTAGAACTTAGCCAATTGTTGTGCGATTTAATCTCAGTCTAAATCTGTTCAGTGAATCCCTCAGAGCTTTTTGAGGATCATAAACAGCAAGAAATTAGGCTTGGCCAAAAGTTGTGGAGAAGTTTAAAGCAGGGTTAGCTTAACTTTGAATGACTCAAGAAGAAGTTTAATCTATTAACATAACAATAAAGAGAATGACACAATCAACACCTGTTAGCACCCAATGTGAATACACAGCAGTAGCAACATACTTTTCTTCCAGCACTGACAGGTGAGCTTTGGAAATACGGTTTGAGAAAATCTTTGTGATATTTTACATATAAAAATGTTTCTAGTTGAGATTGGCAGTTTACTCATCATTTTCTTCCTGCTTCATAATCATTTTACTTTGTGCTAGTCAATGGAAAATAAATTTAATTTATAAAGCCCTCTTCGCATTTAAACACAGATATTCACAGTCAAGTTAGCAGTTTCGCACACAATCTGGTGTTAAATGACAGAGGAGAAAAAAACTGGAATAAAACCCACAATTTTAAGACTGAAACTCACCTATTTTATCCATTTAGTTGCAGTCGCTCATAAATACATTGAACTATTTGGTCAGGTGGCTGTGAAAATGTTTGAGGTGGTACATGTGCTGCACATATCAAATATGTACATATTTTAAAATATTATGTTAACCAAGAGTTAGCCAAAATGAACCAGAATAATAGTATTTTGTCCTCTAAAATACTGTTTCTATGTATTATTTGTAAATTGAATTATTTTCAAAGTAAACTCCAAAGAACAAACTCATAAATTCACATTTAGTGTTTTTTTTTTTCTTTTTATATGTAGTACTGGGTAAAATATCTGTACTTGCAACCTTTTTTCGAAAGATTTGAATAAAACTAATTATATAGAACAATGATGCATGGTGTGCCGAAGAGTAGAAAAGACCACAAACAAACTCGTAGTAAATTGTACTCAAAGGAAAAAAAAGAAAGGATTTTAATGTTTTTTTTTTTTTTGTATTTGGTCGAAGCTTTGATTTTGGAGTAGGAGTGATTACAAAAAGAGCATTGTCCCTTTTAACAATAAAAGCAAATATTGACTCCTCAAATAGAACTCGTTCCATTTAAAAATCGGCTTAGTGGACGTCAAAAAGGAATCCTGATTAAAAATGAGACAATCAACCCTCACCCTGTTGTATTCTTCAAGATATCTCTGTAAAGCCACCTGAAAATGCAGCAACAAGCTCTGAACAGGCCATCAGCAGAAGACAACTGCATCTCTTATTGCACCCTTCCCAATGTATTTGGTCATCGCATCTCTTGATCTGTGCTAAACAACTCACAATTATCTTTGGCCCTTTAGCTATTTCTTAATACCATCCTGCAGACTGTGAACATTTCATTCTGTCCGATGAAACAACCAAATTTGGAAAATGAAAAGTCAGTTTAGCTTCATGATAAATAAGAGACAGTTTGAATTCAAATCTGATGCCAGAGGTTAATATATATATATATATAAAAAAAGCTAAAACTGCACTCAGATGCTTGTCTCCAAAAGGATTTTTTAGCTTTGACACTTTGGCATAAAACAAAGAGAGGTACAAAAAAGGTGAAACTTCTCCAGCATTCTTTTTTTTTTCCTCAGTTAAGCTGCTATGTAACTCAGGTCCTTTAAGCTTTGGCTCTGCAATTCAATTTTTAGACACCTAGCAGAGTGCGCAGCACAAAGAGTTCAATGTTGGAAGCGATGGCTGCACCAGGGTTTTGTGGTTTAAGCCACCATTGTATGACAAGGCTTCTGCATATATATATATATATATATATATATATATATATATATATATATATATATATATATATATATATATATATATATATATATATATATATATATATATATATATATATATATATATATATATATATATATACTGGTCCCTTGTCTTAAACGAACAATGTAAGCTGGAGCACATTCTACAGAGCAGTGTTCTCTGACTCTATTTGGATGGTTGGGTGCAGGGTGGAGGTGGGCTCTTGACCAGCAGAGCCCTTCACTTCTTGCTCCTTGATCACCTGAGGGACTAAAGCTCTTGTGATCCCCTTCATAAGCAGCCCTCCATCTGCAAAAGAAAAAAACCCAGAACGCGAAATCACCAAACACATCATGAAATAAAGCAAACAGCTGCACGTGCACATACACCCACACACACACCGCTACAAACTCAACATTCTTTAAGACACCAAGGACTCTTCCGCAATTTAAACATAGTCAATTCTGCTAAAAATGTATGAGGGATTTTTTTTCAGTTTCCTTGGTGTGTTAATCTGTAAATGCAACAAAACTTTTATGGCACAGATGTGGCTAAGAGCATTGACCACAGAGAGTACAAAAAAAAAGTCTGATCCTGTTTAGAAGCATGTTAGTGTGATGGCAAACAGTTAAGAGACAGAGGCCGTTGGGGGACGGTTAAACCTAAAAGCAAGCAGGTTATGAACAGACAAATGCACAAAAACATCCCTTCACACATGAACATTCAGGTGCATCTCAATAAATCAGAATATCATCCAAAAGTTGATCTGTTAGCTAAATGACAGAGGAGACTCCTAACAGTTTGGCCCACTCTCCTTTCCAAAATGTTAATTATTACACTCTAAAAGAATTTCTTTCAGCTTTCAGCTGAAAAATGAACAGTATGAAGCCACCATGTATCAGTGTCGGTGTGGTGCGATCAAAGTGTTAGTTTTCTGCCACAAATTGTTGTTCTGTACGCAAGTTCGGTTTTTCCACATTTTCACCCCTTTTCATTTGTCAAAGATTAATTACATTATGTTCTTCCTGTTCAAAATCATGAACCATTTACTTCAGAAGTATTGTGTTATGGTCTACGCAATTATGAGGAAGACTGTTCACTTGGCATTTTACAATTTATGGAGTGTAAGCCTGTAAATGTCATTTTTAAAGAGTGCCGTCTCCAAGTATATCATTGGAAAGGTGAGTGGAAGGGGGAAAAAGTGTGGTAGAAAATTGCACACGCGACAAGAATAAATAAAAACCCCTGAGATAATTGTGAAAGAAAAACCCAGACTCATTTTAATATTGGTCTTATGTAACATTTTTATTTTACCAGTCACTGTTTTTTGTCTTTTCTAGACTGTCCGTTTTCAAGACGAACATATTTGAAATACTGACCTCTGTATTCAATCTATTGCTTCCACTTTCTTAATTGAATTACCAGAAACAAATTAACCTTCTAATGACAGCACAACTTATTGAGATGCACATGCACCTATCTGTGTTACATGAGGCAGACATGCAACAAAACTCTAGTTGCTTTTTTCCCCCAAAATAGACAGACAAACATGAAGCAGCAAATAGTGCCAAAACACCCAGCCAATAGGAACCTTACCATCACCTGCCCGGCAAAGCTCATCTTACAGGCAGGTCAGCAGCTCAGACATCTGCAATGTTTACACACATTTCCTGTCATGCTTCAGATCACCACAGTTCAGAGTGACACAAATCGAGACAGTGAAACCAAAAGAAGAAGCTCGAGATCTAAAAACAGCAACACCTAAGAGGAAGCTTCAGACGGTTATCGGCAGACGAGCAGAAAGGGAAGGAAAAAGAATTGCTGGAAGATGGCTGGAGATGTTGTTTTCTTCGCTTCAACTTGATCCAAAAAGAAGAATAATTTGATTAAAATGTCAAAAAAAAAAAGGTTAACAACTTACAGAATCTGACACAATCAGCTACTCTATTATTATAAGCATGCATCTGGAATATTGTTAACAATCCAAAACACTTCAAAGATGTGAAAAAGACCCTTGCCTAATTACAACTTGATGTTAAAAAAAACAAAAGTTTGCCTGATGAATTTAAATGAAGAACTTTCATTTTGATAAATCAAATAGCTTTTAATATTCTGCTTCTGAACCTGTAGAATAATGTCATTACCTGTTATGATCTTGGATGCAGAGCTGCAGATGCCATTACCGTTGTCATTAGCTACGGGCTGTGGTGGCGGTGGCATGCTGGGTCGCACTCTTGGCTTTGGGGCGGGCCTGGAGGGGCGGGGCAGAGATCCAGTGGCGTACGGGGGCGGAGTATCAGGCGGAGTGGGAGTTGTCGGCGGCGAGGGGTCTCCCTGGGCCGGTTGGTGGGCTTGAGGAGGCTGCGGCGGTGGGTGGTTCGGGGCATGGATGGAGTCTTTGCTGGAGTGACGACGGGCTGTGAGGGGTGGGTGACCGGGAGAGCCTGGAGGCTGGGGGCTGCTGGACTGAGAGGCGTACGGGCTCGGCTGCTTGGGCGGAGCCGGTGCCTGTTTTTTGGTGCCTTCAGTACAGAAGAACAACAATACATTATTTATTCCCTTGACTTTTTTTTTAATGTTTTTTGACGTTACAAACACAAACTTCAATGTATTTTATTGAGATGTTAAGCGATAAATCAACACGACAACATCAACATATAGAATAAAGTACAAAAAGTTACATAACTGTGAAAACATTTGCAGAACGCTGTGAATGTTCTGCAAATGAGAGTGAATATGAATATGAGAGTGTGCTCCGGTCTCACCTCTGCGGACCATATGAGGACTCGGCCCTCTTGACCCACCCTGAGAGTGCGGAGTCCCGACTGTAAGATGGAGTGAACCATTCCTCTGCTGAGGAGGGGTGGACAAAGGTTCCCGGGGTTGGCTGTTAAAATACAACAGAGCAAAGCATTAAACCATATCAATACTCTACTTTATATGACACAACACTTTGTAATGATGCAAAATAATAAAAATAAATAGATCATGCACACAAACATCAACATACATTTTCCATCACGAGATTGGACAAAGGTCAAAACAAGAGGAATCACTCAGGTTTAGGCAAACAAGATGCAAAAACAATAATAGGTCAGTAGATGCAGACACAAAACTGTTTCAGTAATGTGTTGAATGCAAAATGAAAAAGCCCAAGAAGCAGAAGAGCACTGGAACGTGCCGGTTAGCAGGCGGAAAGAAGCGCATTGTATTATAAAAATAGATTCAAAATCGCAAGCAGAACAGAGAAAACATAAACGCACGATCAAAATAAAACGTGATTTTCATCGCATTCGTAATCACGGAAGCCAAATTAAATGCTGTGCATGAGGTGGAGATTATGAATCTAAGAGATCCAGAGTGGTTCTTACAGTTACGAATCAAACACAGGGCAAACACAAAGATTGGGCGGGTTCCGGACTGGTTGATTGGTTGCGAGCCGACGGTGGAGTACTGTTGCGACCTCAGCTCCCTCCTTACCTGGTGTCCTCTGCGCTGGGCTGCCTTACACCCTGAGGCTGCACTGCGGCTGCCTGGACCCCACCCCCATGAGCCTCACCGCCTCCATCACCAGCAGCAGCAGCAGCAGTGATCAGACCCGGCTGCTGTGCATCTGGACCTGGCGACTGAACCTGGGGGGACTGCAGCTCGGTCTGGGAGGAACCCTCAGCTTCCAGAGGAGGCAGTGAGGGTTGGAAGGTGGGTGAGGTTAGTTGTGTCTGCTTTCTATTTACAGTGCCGATTCTGCGTGGAGCAGGCTCCGGATGTTTGTTAACAGGGCTACGAAGGAGGGGGAAAGGGAAGAGAGTTCAGGACGGCAAAACCACACGCCAACCAAACAGTGACGGGGAGCAGGAGATTGAGAGAGACAGCTAAGAGAAGTCAGAGACGGTGTAAGACATACGAAAGAGAGAGAGAGAGAGACGGTACTTCCAGAGAGCAGTGAAACCAGGTCATAAGGTAGAACCAAAAGAGCACATAAAACCACACCACAGTCATCTCTGAAACTGAGCAACACTGGGCTGCACTCTATAAAAGTTACAGGCGACACCAGAGATACAAAAAGCAACACAGGAAGCCCACACGAAATATAAACCTACAGAGAGACCTAAGCTTTAATTGGAAATTAAAAAGATGGCAAGAGTACAGAGCAGTAATACAAAGAGAAACAGACAAAATCATGTCCCAACAATAAAAATTTCTTCAAAACACATAAAGAAACATTACCATGAAACAGTACGTGATTAAATTGTCGTAAAATCTTGCAAACAGATCAGGGAAAAAAAGTGCAGCGATAAAAGAAAACATCATCCTTTCTTTCACTGACCAGTAACTGAATTCATTAATGCTACATGCTGCTATGGCACAGCTTTGAAGTCTGGGCTAGGCAGATCTTCAGTGGGCGTCTCAGTGACCGTGATGGACTCGTCGGCCACTATATAAAGGGCCGAGACTGCCGGGCCCCGCGACTCCTGCCTGCTCAGTGTCTTGGGGCGGGAAGGGAGGGCGAGGGGCAGGCTGAGGCTGAGGTTGGGACGAGACGGGTACCTGTCTTTACGGGGCGTGTGAGCGTCCCCTTCGTGCCCGGTGCTGCCGGGGCGCTTCCTGTCCAGCCCAGGCTCCAGGTCTGGGGTCGGCGGGTGGCTGGGCATGGAGAACATGCCTGAAACATTGAACTCCACCTCTGAAAGAAAGAAGAGATAATTGCGATTAACAGAGGTAAAATCTCCTTTTTAATTCAGACACAACACAGAAAGAAATTAAATCAACTGTTTACTGTCAAAACTTTGTATTTGTTGTTTGTGGGGAAACTATATCTGATTAATTAAGTGATAATTGGAGCTAATTTCAATTTACCTCCAGGAAAGAACCAATCAGCATGTTGGATGATGGGTTCTATGATGGCCCCAACATGGACAGACGTAGCTGCTGCCATCTCTGCCAGCGTCCTGAGTTAGCAGTGACATAGCAGCAAAATAAAACAAACAAAGCCGGGAATACATGTGCGTACCAAGTATGCAAGAGAACTGCCACAAAGAAGCTGTCTTTTACCCCTCTGTTTTTGCCCACAGCAGGTTGGGCCCCAAGACGATGGCGATGTTACTGGGAGTCATTTTATTGACCTCACTTTCCTGAGCCAGTTTAGCCAGGAACTTCACCAAATACCTGCAAAAGAAACCACCAGTATCCCAATAAGCATAAGAAACAGTTTTGCTTTCACAATCCAGTTTATAAATTGGTAAATAAGAGACTTGTGGTGGCTGTAATTTAACTAAATTACTGGAGCAACCATGACGCTACACAATCACCTTACATCTTCAGTGACAGGGGCCTTTAATTGTTTTACTGGTATATTCATAACTGACCAGTAGAAAGAGATCATTTGTCTAGAAATGTATTTAATATCTACAAGTTTGAAATGCCTAATGTTTCAGTAGTTTTGAAACACTGGTTCGTGAGGGCTGGATTTGGAGACCCCTGCTCTAAAGGGACACATAAATACACCGTTCAAGTTAAAGGTTGTGTGTTTAAATATTATTTTACCAAACAAAACAAAGCAGCTTTATCTGCACACAACCAGGTTAAATCAATGTTAAAAAGTCATTCAATTTTATTTGATTTTAAGAATTACTCACTGAAGGCACAGACTGCTATTTACTAATCTTTTAACAGACTGTCAATGTATTTTATCAATACATTCTGGCACACCGACCTTAACGCAACATTATTGACTTTGTTGCAAACTACAGTCTCACCACTTGATGTCACTGTTTTCCAGACTAAAACAAAAATTTCCTTTGACCTGATAATTTTGATAATTTCAACTGGTATAACTTTTCTAAATTAATGTAAACTACAACTACATTTTTTGTTAATTACCTTTAGATAACATTTGCTTTTCAATAAGCGCTTTATAAATAAACTGGTTCAATCGCTTTATGTTTCAATTTGGGTCTTGGGACATCTGAGAGAAACTGGCTGACTGAAGCAGTTTGAACTTTTAAGAGTAAGCAATAAAATCTTAAAATCAATTGGGAAGCTGACAGGAAACCAGTGAAGAAATGCCAAGACTGAAGTAATGTGTTCAGGCTCTTTAGCCTCAGTTGTAAAAAGGAGTTTTGTGAAATGTACAATTATCTGTTCTTTTGCTACAACTACAGCCACTTCTTATTGGTGATTAATTTTACAACGTTAAAACTGCTCCAAGATTTCAAGATCCGTAATTAAATTACTTTGACATTTTTATTACCATCAAGTTTCTACAAAGGTGTGGCATTTAAAGTGTAATTTAAGCTCTGGTGACGTAATTACTGAGCGTTCTCATACCTAAAGTTAGCTTTGTGAGCCTTTGGCAAATTGTCACATATCACCCAGAGAGCCTGAAGCCTTTTGTCAGGGTCAGAAATGCTGAAAACACAGAAAACAGTTGCATTAGTTGCAGGAAACATCTCTTGCAGGATATTAAAAATCCCATCTGTGTATGTGTGTGTATGCTTTATTACTTGGAGGCCTGTATCCACTCATCATACATGCTAAACGTCATTAGAGGCTCAGGTAGTTCCCTGAGGTAAGACTTCAGAGCTCCTGTAAAAAGCACAAAAACACTATGAGAAATACATTTTAAAAAGCATCTTGACAAAATGGTTTGACTTTTCACTAGACCACAGCGGAAGTTGTACCAGCGACTGCATGTGGATCTGAGTAGAACTCCTCAAGTTGCGAAGTGGAGCAGTCCAGTGCTGCTTTCAGCTTTTTAAGTTTTGAAGCTCCAGCAGCAATCCGAAAGAGACCCTTAGAGGAACATGAGAAATAAAAGAAAAATGTTATCATCAGCACTGTTGCACCCGGCTCTGGTTAACACCTTAAAAATTCAAGAAGCTAGAGCAGCGCCGGGAATAGGAAAGGAGAAGTAGATATCTGTCAGAAACAAGAGAGGAACCGTCCTGTTATCGTCAGAATCGCTTGTCTCTGTTTGACTGAGCACCAGACAGACGCAGCACAACCGTTTGGTTTCACTTCATAAAAATGCTTTAAATCACAGTCAACAGGGAGTCCAGCAGCACTGTTACATTTAAAGTGTGCAACAGCAGAGAGGCTAATGGCGAACAGATGCCCACACACATACACATGTTTTATCCCTGCAGGACCAAGACTAGCTGACTAAAACTTGGCAACAGATGTTTCCAGTCTGTAGATGCTATCCTTTATGGAGCCTCCTCTCCTTCCAGCTCAAACGGAGATGAGGATTTACTTTTTTTATGGCCAAAGATTTATGTTAAAATTCTGGTTAATAAGCATCAACTTTGACCCTACTTTAGGGGGGTATTTTTCTGACTCATGCCTTCCCCTCATCTTTACCTCTTCCCTCATGCCGGTCTCCAGCAGCATCATGACGCAGGCCTCTAAGGGTAAAGCGATCTCTCGATTGCTCCTCTTCAGGTGTTCCTCCAACATCGTGCCAAATGCAGGCTTCTCGATCCATGTATCTACATAAATGAAATACATTAACATGTTGGAGGCAATCAAATGACTAATGGTTATTTAATGTGGCTTTTAGTCTGACTCAAAGGCTAAAAGAAAGTCCTTCTGCCTGATTTTTTTTATGAAGAATTTGTTATTCAAATTAGGTTTCATCTCAGGCTCCATTTATACTCTCAAAATTTCATGTTAGGTTTCTAAGATGTATCTATACTAAAAAAGATTTTAAAATAAACATGTCTAGTACTTCTGAAAAACTAATTAACTTACTAATTTGTGAGTTTAAACCCACAAATATCTGGAATAAAAAAAAACTTTAGAGAAGAAAATAATCACGAGAAAAGATGTTGAATTATTCCATTATTTTTCCATCTAGAACAATTTTACTTCAGTAATTATTAGGAAAAAACCACAGACATGTCTATGACAAAACTCAACTCCTGATGCCTGTTGGTGACCTATTCTCATTCACTGAACAAAAATATTTGCTGATCTAACAAGTATGTTTTTTTCCCTCTATTATCCAAGCACTTCTGCAGTGGAACAGATAGTACTCTGCTTTCTCTGTCCATACCCTGTGACCTGTCCTGTGCTCAGGTAACCCCAACTGAACTGCACAGTGATCAGCTGAAACAGTGAATTTCATGACTTATGAAGCAGCATGCGACTTTTACTAACAGAACAACTTTTCTTTATGGTTTGTTTGAACACAATATAATGAAACCACAGTGAAATATGTGATGAGCCAAATTATCAAAGAGTTTTATTAAAACAGAGGGAAACCTGCTTGCATTAGCCTCGCTCTTCAGTGTACCATTTCACAGAGCCAGCAGGAGTGCTGTGTGTGTCGACCCAGATATATCCTATATGTAGAAGGTCTGATTAAACAATGAAACTTCCACATCACAAGTTGACAGAACATTATGTCAACTTGCCTTCTTAGCTTAGTCAACCCATGTGGGAGCTGCATGTTATGTCTGCAGAATCTCCAGTTGGGACAAAATGTCTGTTGCTATAAAAAGAATTAGATAAGAGAAAAAACTAGAGAGCTTGCCAAAACCCACATTTAATAGTGAGTGAGTACATTCATTACTGATGAAATGCAGTGTGATATTTTGCTTCAAAGTTGCCACGGCTTCATGTGTCTTCTTTGAATGAAGTATCGGACAGGGAACTCGGTGTTAGCAAAGTGTAGCCTGTCAGCTGAAAGCTCTAGTTATATCAGAAGGGAAAGCAACACAGGACTCCTCAGCCATAAATCGGATCCAAGAATAATATCAGCATCAGACCTGACTGCCAGAATGCGTCGGATCAAATCCAACTGCAGAAATACTATGAGAAAAACTGAAATCATGCTTCCATCCAGGAGGCCTGGGACCTTCCCCAACCAATCATTGGTCGAGAGGCGGGGTTCATAATCACTAAATATGATTCACAGAGCTAATTTAACCTTTCTATAGGTTAGAAATATTGCATCAGCTGATAAACTGACTGATTCTGACTTAGTGCTTTCATTTTCTTCTGTTGGATAAAACTCAATTCTCTTCTGTTTGTAGTGAAAGGAAATGAAACTCACACTGTGATTTCACACCAAGATCTATCGACCTGGCTTGGATCACAAGCCTGGTCGGATTATTTTCATGCTACTGCAGAATAAAGCAAACACTCATGGATCTTATTATAAACAGCATGTCCTCACCTTGCTGTATTTGGATGGTAGGAATAGCTGTTTCCAGAGCTGACAGAGACTTCCTGTGATACTCGGCCTGGGCCTCTAATAACTGCAACACACACAAATGCAAAACGTTGCCATCCATGAATCGGTTGTTTGGATTATGAGCTGAGCTATAAAACTTTTGACACACTCACCATGATATAATAGCGTGCATAGTCTCCCTCTTTTGAGGCAAAGTTGTACATGTCTGCAGACAGCTGGTCCTGCGGGATGAATGAAGGTGACAGCATCCTTAATCTTTGTTCTGAGCATTAACCATAAACTCCTCATTACGACAATGATGAGCCCCACATGACAAAGCTTTGACCTTTAATTACACTAACGATCTTCCTGGGATGATAGCCTTGAGCCATTCTTGCAAGGCCTTCTTTGTTCAGCCACATCAGGAATGTACACCTATTAGCTCAGACAAGCCTACATTAAAGTCCATGCAGAGTTACTGATTATTACCTTGCATATTTCTACTTTATTGAGAGCCTCATCCATCTCATCCTTGAGTGAGTCTACTTTAGCTGCCATGGCCTGGTTGTTGGACTTTGTTGCCTGAAACCACCTGAAGGACATAAAACAAATCATACTGCAGCATACAGTTGAAAACACATTCACATGAAAAAACACAACCTATTTTTCTCATTGACTGATATTAAATCTTTCTTGCTTTAGATAATTTAGAATTAAAAAAAGAAGATGACAAAATAAGACCATATTTAAGATATTTTGCTTTACCTCTCTTCAAATACAGTTTAAGCTAAGAAAAGCTTAACTTAAGTGGCAACATTTTCAACTGGAAAGGTCCAGTTGGTGAAGCTTTGCAAGTTTTATAAGATTAAATAGAGGCACATCTGTGGATGCATTTTAAGGCAACATCTCAATCACATAATGCCTCTTTTTGTGACATCATACAGAAAAGAAAAGCAATCAGCCAAGAATTTAAGAAGAGAATTCTGGATCTCCATAAGATTGGTTCATTCTTGGATTTTCTGATGAATATAAATGTGTTCAAATAATTATATGAAAGACGAAACAACTTGGGAATCTCCAATGATCAATTTAGTCTGAAGGGAGAGGTAAACAAATTTGGAACGAAATGCGTGAATCAATCAGACAAAGATCTCCTGTACCAACATGGACTGAAAGACCACTAAGAGAGAATGAGCCCATTGCTCCAAAAGCCACACAAAAACACAGATTTCAGTTTTTTAAGATGTGTCCTACACCAGGATGAAAGTAAAAACCCTATCTATCCATAATGACAACTTTATATGAAGGAGAAGACTACCAGCCTCAGTACATCATCACAACTACAAAGTATGGTGTTGGCAGTATTCATGTGGGTAGTTTTTTTGCAGGAGGCACTGGTGCACTTTTCAAAAATGGATGCATCATGGGAAATATTTGAGGAACACGTGAAGTCATTATTCAGGAAGTTAACACTTGGGTTCCAGTGGGCCTTCAACATGGACAGTAGGCTTTACTGTATCACTAAAGTAGATGTAAAGCGGAATAAGCATAATAAGGTCAGTGTTTTGGAGTGGCTATCTCACACACAGAAAACTCGTGGGCAGAGGTGAAAAGTGTTTGACATTAAATCAGGCCCAAAATTATTTTTTTGCTTGTTACCAAAGTGGACAAATTAGGTTACATCTCTGATTTCAACCGTATTTACAGGATCATCTCCAAAATTAGCCTTTTTAGCTCAAACTACACCAACAACAACCAAACCTTCATGTCAAGTTGAAGATGTAAAAACTATGAGCTTCATAAATTGTGGATTAATTAATAAATAGGCATCAGTCTTCATACAAATGCACCTCGTCTTGGCCGAATCGTAATCCAGAACTAGCTTGGCAAGTTGCTTCCTCTGTTTCAGTATGTTAGGAATCTCCACCTGTGGGAAAAACATTCAGGAATCATGAGAAAGGCTCGACTAAACTCGTAATACAGCATTGAGGACGTCTTTCCTACAAGTCTGTGAATTACACAGTGAATTTAATGCTTCAGTGTACAGAACAACTGTTACATAGCAGCTGCATGACAGATACTGAATAGTTTGTGGAGCATAAAATGAGTTGTGTCAGTTTTTTCATTTTATTTTATTTTATTTTTTACCTCTGCCAGCTGGTTGAGAGGATCCAGAATATCTTTTTCGATCTGTAATTCATGCTGCATAAGTTCGGTGGCTAACCGGCTCTCGGTCTCCCCGCACGCCTCCAACATCTTGCTGCAACACACACAAATATATGATAATTTCACTGTTTTCACAATTCTGCATGCAGTTTCTACCAAAGTCAGGTGATTTTTCAGTCATTCACATAGTCGCAGTGCTGCTTCACAGTTCCTGAAATCCTGTAAATTTTTTCCCCTTTTGTAACCCACAACCAGAAAACAAAATTGGTGTTTTATGTCATAGACCAGCATAAAATTGTGTATAGATGTGGCATAGAAGCAAACGGTTTTAAAGTGTTATTAAAAATTAAAAAAAAAAAACATCTGAAAGAGTGTGGTTCATGTTGTCATTCAGACATCTTTTGATGCTGTTGCAGCTTATTTGTACATCTCATCAACTTTTGCTCATTGTGTATCTGAAAAGGAGCTTGTGTGAAGTGCTGCTGCAAATTGACTATTTGAAGCTAAATAGTCAATTTGCTGCAGCAAATTTGTCAGATATGGAATACTTGACTGCAGAAGCATTCCCATAGCATGATGCTGACTCCTCCATGTTTTATAACATAGCGAGCAGATCTCTCTCCTCCAGTTACCACGAACCTTTTCTGTGTCTCTGATTAATGCTCTCTTCATCTGTGCATGTTCTTTTTTTTTTCAGACGATGGATTAATCAGAGCTCTGAGTTAAAAGTTTCGAATGTTGTTTCATAACTTTACCCTACTTTAAACTTCTCAGCAGTTTTATCTCTGACTAGATTTTCATGATATGCTTTGTTCTCTAATGTTCTTCAAGAAACCCTAGAAAAACTCACAAAACTCCACAAAAAGATTAAATAGACAAAATCCCAATAGGATATGTTCATGTTTATGGTTGTAGTGTGACAAAACGTGGAAATGTTTGAGGAGTTTTACAGTTTTTCCTCACCCAATCAGGCCCTCATCTCCTAGCTGAGCTCCGCCTTCCTGCATGGTCTGGGACAATCCGGTCAGCGGCAGTTTTTTCTGCAGCAAGACATAAAAACAAAGTTAGGCTATTATGAAACAAAACGACTTGAAGCTGAGTTATAACTTTAGGAAAGTCACACAATGTTGTGTTTGGATAATTTAGGTGGCAACAACATAAACAAGTTTGGCAAAGGAACTCAAGAGCAGTTGTTTTCGATGGTAACACCGACTGCAGCTGCTCCACAGGGATTATGACTTTGGCAGGAAGCCATTTTTCATATCTATGTGTTACATAAGAACAGATGCCATGAGTTCACTGTATAAGATACCAATCTCTGTTACTGCAACCCTCAAAGGAGTACCAGAGCTATAATCTCAGCACATGCCATCCATGTGGCACAGAAACATCTGTAAAGTTTTACAGCAATGTCTCGAATGTTTATAACATGACTTAACAGTAAAGTTGTGTTTAGTTTAAAGTTCAGCTCAGATAACAGAGCAAAGGCTAACAGCAATAGCACATTCTTCTCACATGTCTTTTCTCTGTGTCGGTGCCAAGTTGACCCTGCAGGCAGGACACCAGCCTCTTGTGCATGTTGTGTGACACCAAGCGCACCAGTTCCATCCGCCTCTCGATCTGCATGAACACGACAAGACAAAAAAAAAAGAAAAGAAAAGAAAATTAGAAAACACAATTCAAAATGTGAACAAAGAAAACAGGAGGAAAAGATCAGTGCACTGGTTCGAACCAGGATGAAGGAAACATAAACCTTCCACCTTCCTGTTCAACATATACGACCCAGGTGAGGGCTACAAATCAAAACACAGAGGCTGGATAAGCCCACGTTCATTTGAAAAATGTTCCATCCTGTCCTTGGTATCGGGACGTCATGGAGGATCTGACTGAGTTCTGCAGCAGAACAACAAGCAGCTATGACACAAAGACACAAGGATGAGTCAAGAGGGAACGCAGTGATGGGGCTCTTTAATGAGGGCAGGGAAAGCTTTCCTGACAGAGACATGTGAAACTTTAGAAAACAATCATATAGGCTGTGAATCTGACTTAACAGGTTATCCATGCCTTAACGCTGTAACTTTGAACAGTGCAGTGTACATTATAACGACCATCATTCATTTAGTGAAAGACTTGAAATATTAACTCCCTTCAGATGAAGGATGCTATCTAAACATACATGATGTCACATTCAGGTTCTCTTTTTGCTTTGATATTTTGTTCCAACTTATTATCTAGTCGAGATAAAATCCAGACTCTCCATGCGCACATGCCTCTAGTGACGACACATGAGGTATAACACAACTAGTTTCAGTTCTTTGAGCAGTTCAACTTGTTTTTTGTTTGCTTTTCCACTTTAAGCACCAGTTTTTCACCAAATTCCTCTTGGAAAAGCTGTTTGCAGCTGCAGGAAGGATTTGAGTCATATCTAAGAAGACAGCATTGATTTCAGGATAATTTTATGACAATAAAACACAAGCAGTGCATTGTTAGGAGAACCAGGGAAGAATTGGAACTGAACAATTTTAATTTGGCAATATTAGTTTTGTTTATTGACATCATGATGTACATCAAGTTAGTGGAAAATAGTCTACAGTTGTGTCAGTGATGCCAAGTCTGTCAGGTGAAGAATGCAGCTGTGTGGTTATTCAGCAGGTAAAACAGTGCGTCATGTTTCTAAAATAATTATTGCATTTCTTTCTTTTGAGGTCTGGACAGGCTGTTTTTTTTTTTTTTTTTTTTTTACATTAGACCACAAATAGCTGCCTGCCTCTTGAGTATTATCTTCCTCTTCCTTTCTTGATGTAAACATCCAGCTGCGCCCAAAGATCCGAGTCTATTTGCTGTCAGATCTCATCCTCTTCCTTCACTTTTATCCTCTCTAAATCATTGCTCCCTTTTAGCGCAACATCACAGCTGGAATTCACTTTCTGTCCTGGAAGATGCAATAGATACTATAAATACAATCCCTAACTCTAGGAATATCTGGTCATGACTTGATGAGTTGCAGGTTTTCCAATGATGTCTGCCAAGAAAGAAAAGAAAGCTCTGAGAGTCTGCGGTGTGGGTGAGACGGCTGGGCTACAAACATATTGATCACATCCTGTGTCTTTAGTACAAACTCTTTCCAAGCATATAAGAGATGGAAGTTTACAGAAAAGGTAACACAGAGCAAACAAGAAAATATAAAGATTAGGTACAGAAGTAAGTCCCTCAGAAAGGAAAATTTTGGTGGGTTTCTCAAAGATTTCTGGCTAAGAGATTCTTCGTGTTTTGGTTTCACCGTCCTCCCGAACTTAAACCACTATTCTTGCTCAATTAGATATTCTCAAGCACAAGCTCAACCACACACCCTGATAAGCGGTGGATTAAAAGTTGGATGAGAGGAAAGAAACAGGGCAAATTGCTTGATAACCGTCACAGACAAGCCCACACACACTAAAAATGAAAAGAAATGACTGCTTCCACTCTGCTGTTACCACACTTTCCAAAAGTTCACACTCACTGCCAACTTTTCAGCTTTCTGCTTTTTCTTTTCCAAGCAGCAGTGAAAACTGAGCACAGCAAGCTCCAGTTGCTGACCTCTGACCTACAACAGCAGAAACGTGGAATGTTGAGTGAGTGACTCAGAAGCCGTGTGGACGGCTGCATTTTCATTTTGGTGGACTGAAAAGCTGCATCATCGACGTAACTAGAAGATGACTAGCTGGTTGATCTGGCAGGCGGGAACTAAGAATTACGAATTTAACGATGAACCAGAAGTAAGAATTGAATCTAGAAATATTCTAGAGAGCTCTGGAATAGTTGAAGAAAAGTTGCTTTTGTTAGAAGTAGAAAAAAAAATAGAGCAAGAATTTGGACTCTAAAGTCCAAATTTAGTTAAGCTAAGTGTTTAAGTGTTTTCATGTGATTCTGAACATCAGAATGCAAAAAAACAAGGAAAAAAGAAAGAAAGAAAGAAAGGAAACACATTTTCAGTTTCCCCCCTTTTCTGGGAAATGACTTAGGCTAAAAACCAAGCAAATTTTTCAATTTGTAGTGATGAATCAGATCAGACCAGACACATTTTTAAGTAGGATGCTGACTATCATTACAGCCATCCATCCATTGCTTTCTGCTCATCTGAGATCAGGCTGCAGCGGTAAGAGATCGGACCAACATGTTTCAAGGTCTCCTTCCAGTTGTACAAACCCAGAAAACCATAGTCGTTTCCCTGGATGACGGTGTTCCACATCCTGTCCTGGGCCAAGTCCAGTCAAAATATGACTCATCTGTTAGTTTTACTTTGTTTCTGTTACTTTCAGTCATGAGCAGTCAGAAGAGTGGCTGGCACCCTTTGCTTGCTGCAGAGAATAGGGAGATTATTTTATATGCTTTGTGCAGAACTGAACAGCATTTTCTTCTCTCCTGGAACAGAGATGAAGTTTGAATTAGAGACTAACCCCCAGCTGACAACCACGATCCAAGTGTAAGAGGTGGTGACTAACGTCTCCCCTGAAGAATCACTGTATCTCTGAAAAATCACCTTGTTAACTTAATGAAACATGCATGGACACACTTAAAAAATGTCTTGCTTGCTTGAAATGCTGACCTGCTTATCCCTAAAAATATTTTTGCACTCAGATGTAATGCTTCTTGTAAAAATGTGTTCTGCTTCTCTTGTCAAACTTCCTCTGATTGCGGGCACTTCCGGCTCCGTCCTACATGTTCACGAATCACTCTATGATAAAAACGAGGTAGTGATGTCAGTAACATTTTATCTCTATTAGCTGATACTGTTAGCATGACACAATTGTCCTCCACGTAGATAATCTGCAGGTGCAGACTCCTATTCGAGTCAGTTAAAGCTTGAAGTGCACGACTCGAATAGGAGCAGGAGAAACTTGCTGAACACAGAAACATTTTTAGGGGAATCTGAGCATATTTGTAAACAGGGAAGATTTTTTTTTAGTTTGAGAGAAGAAATTTAAGCAAGTACTGTACAAGTGAAAACGAGGAAACTTGTTCATTAAATAAAAATGTGCACCCATTTTTTTTTTTTTTTAAGGTTTAAAGTTAATCTGTAGATCACATGCCAACCGGCTGGCAATGGATGACGTGCAAAGTGGAGGTTGCCTCAAACAGCATCTTTAAGTAATTTTGGGATTCCAACTCTGCCAGAACTCTCTAATGATGCCGTTAGGCGTAAAGACATCAGTGTTATGCAAACGCAAACTGGCTTTACTAGATCGTGGTCAGACCTCCAAGAGTTTTAAATTCAAACGATCAAGTGGTTATATAACTGGGGTGAAAGCCACTCTAATTTGAGAGAGGAAATCTTAACATTGAGAATTGACTTACTTTAGATACAACAAAGAGCGTTGGTTCTCTTTAACTGCTTCATCGGCAAATGACACCACCTCTGAAATGGCAAGACTTTTATTGATTTGGACTTTGTTCAGGTGTGTTGGAAAGACATCAGAGATCAGTTTAGAGAAGCAATTGTTGCTCCCCAAAAATCCAGAAAGGTTTGAATAGATCTAAATAGATCTCTCGCATCCATTCAACAGAGAGAAAGACTGTTAGCTGCTAATCTTCCTGGAGCGATCGTCCTCAAATTCAGGCCATGAAACGCTCAGAGGCATGGCAACAAGAAATACCTAGATCTATGTCAGATATTTTGGAGACCTCTTCTAGCATAATGAAAAAACGTATTTAATTTGAAAAGTTTTAGATGGAGAAAAAAAAAACAAGACTTCTGGAGAAAATATTGTTTGGATTGATTGAATCAATTGGGATGCTGAATCACATACACAGTGTGATGTCTAATGAAAAGCCTATCACCTACCACGCCAAGGTTAAAGTGTGGTGGTGTAGTGATGTGGGCTGTTTTGCATCCCCAGGAACTGCGTAGGTTGCGGTCACCGAGATGAGCAAAGTAAGAAACAAAAGGAAAATGAAAACGTAGCCAAGGTGTTTCAATGGTCCAGTCAAAGTCCAGACCTCAGTTTGACTGAAATACCCCAGAGAGCTGTGTATGTAACAAACTTACAGAAATCTAAATTAAACGAAGCACCACAGTAAAGAGTGTGCCGATTTCATTACAAGTAAAGTAATAAAAAAGGTCTAACTACTCTAAGTTATTTCTGCCACAGTTTGTTAAACAATCTATCAAATCATGGAATATAGCTTATCTTATCTGCATTTTGGAAAGAAAAAAGTCAATTTCTTGCCCATTTTATTAGGTGTGACATAATATATGACAACGCAGAATGTCCATCCTCTGTTTTGTAAGATTTATTTGTGATGATCAGGGAAGAAAAGAACTATACTGAACTACCACATGTTCTCAGAATTCCTCTGTGAGAACAATAATATATATGATGTAGGTTTAAACATGTGCAAGGTGTTTAAACCTACAGTACATCATACACCATGAACAGTGTATGATGTACACTTTTGGTATATGATCATGCACTTTTGAATATACCAAAAGTATGATCACCAAAAGTTTCTCTCACCGACTGACCCAATGCAATACTCGCTTACCACATAACCGTTAAGTATGAGCATTGTAGAGAATCTAACACCCCATTTGGATATCTCATCTTCAGTTGTATTCAAATACTGACTTCTGGAACCAGTTCCAACTCGATATCCTTCACTTTGAGATGAGGCAAGCAAGGATACAATCCAGTCTGACAGCCTTCTAGACTCTCCCACTGAAGCAGGACGAGTCCAAACAAGAGAAATGTCTTACCCAATGCAAAGCATTATGGAAAATGCAAGAGAAGAGAGTACTATGACAGCATGGAAATAACAGAGTTGAGTTTCATATTGGAACTGTTCGTAGAAAAGGGGGGGATGCAGGAGATTGTGGGAAGTGGGTTAGGAAAAATGATCCCTTCTGGTCTCACGCTTGGAAGATGGAAGAAAAACTTTTCCAAGCAGTGTGATTAAATAATAGTGTTGATTTACTTTTGCATGTGTGTAAGCCACACATTTTACTCGGATTATTGCAGATGTAACAACTGACTATGAGCAACATGCAAATTAGTCGTCAGCAGATGTGCAAAGAGCACACAACCCTGCTAATGTTGCCCGTTTTTCTGATAGTGACTAAAAACTTAACTGAAAGATATGCATTTAGAGAAGGAAATGTGAAACATAAAAAATGCAATTACCTGGTTGCATAAAGTTAAACTCATACCTTGCAAAGAAACATTTTGATTTTGTTTCATTGTTCTAGCAGAATTATCCTGACATTTGTCCAATGGCAAAGCGGTTTCTCTACCTTTCCAAAGCAAAAGTCAATTGCAGCCAAGAATCTGGTTTCAACTAAACAAATAATCATTTGTGTAGTTACTATCCTACAGATTCTTGTCTGTGTTTCAGCAAGTGACAAAAAAAATCAATTCTTTGAAATGCACTGAGTAGCACCTTATTTCTAAAACTAACCATATGGGAAGACAAATCCTGTTCTTGTTTCAGAAGGGTCCAATTATTGCCATGCATCAAGGGAAAAAAACAAAACAAATATTGTATTACAGGCTATTTAATGAGTTAATAAAAACTGGAAGAATTGTGTGGAAAATTTGTGGTCGGAACAAAATGAGTGATTGTGATCGGTGATTACAAGAGTGTGTTCAATAGTTCTGCACACAAAATATGAGAGGAAGGGGCTGGGATTTAACAGCTGTGTCGCCTCAAGCAAATTACTGATGAGCGAAGGTAATTGGGAAAAAAAAGCTGCAATTTGATAGGGAGCACAAAGATTGAACTCTGGAGTAATGGTAGAAGGTTTTATGGTCCGATGAGTTTAGAAATGGCAATACAGAGTTATTGGCAAATCAGTTTAAGAAGAGAAGTGCATAAAGTGTTGCTCCCATTGTGCATATTGCCTACTGCACCAGCCTGGAGAGGGGCCAGAGCTATGAGCTGGGGTCTTGGCTAAATAGCAATAATTGCCCAGAGATATGAAGTTAACAAATGATTTAATCAGTGAATTTCTTATTTCCATATGGCTCAGGCATATTCCTAGATGGCAATGCCCAAATTTAGCAGTCACATTGACTTATCAAAGCACTGGAGTTTCTTTCAACAAACCCCACATACAACAGCCTCACATTTATACATCAATGTGCAGATAAGATGGAAACTTTGCGCTAATTGCCTTCTCCAAGGGAACCCACAACTTTCTAGATGCAAGACAACTATTCCACACTGAAACACGGTGGTGGTTGTAGCATGCTGTGGGGTCAAAGTTTATTGGTTTAGAGCATTGCCGGCCTGAAGATAAAGAGGGATTGTATTAGTTAGTATCACAGCAAGTCCAAACATAAGTCCAAACACACAGAAGAATGAAACTACATGTTTATAGACCAGAAACGAAACAAAACCTGTGCAGGACCAGAGGGAAAATACATCCCAACATACTTGTTCATGTTTCATTGTAATTGTTATGTTTTTCAATTTTGAAGAAATTATCCAGCATTTGTGTCACATTAAAGGCGGAATAAGTTTGTAAGTAATCCACCAAGGTCTGATCTTTTTAGGTCACTGAAACTTTAACAGAGATCTGTGATTGACGAGTTTTTGCCATTTAGAAAGAAATCCTGTCAGAAGCTGGAGCTGCCAAAAGACGTCCAAGCTACTTTAACAATGCTGACCTCCTGACAATAACATTCCTCGCCGAGAGCCGGAGATTAAGGAATGTCTAACGCAGCACAAAACTCCCGACGTTCAGTGCCAAAGACGGGAAAGAGCATTCAGAAGGACGGCTGAGTCTGTTCTCTTTTGTTGGCTTATGAAAATAGCAAATATATTTAGCTAGAGATGACAGTACTATTTATGTGGAAATATTTATGTTTGGCACCAGTTTGTGTTGGGAGTTACTGGGTGTGAACCGCATACGGTTCAGAGTTCACCGCTGCTGGTCATAAAGCCTCCACTTCTGAGGCCGAGAATGAAGGTTGTTGAAGATTTACTCTGCACCGATTAACCTCTCTGCACTGCTTTTCTTCATTTCCGCTGTATTTATTCCCACAATTTTTTTTCTCCAAAGATGATCTCACCATTTCACAAGCCAAAGTCTTCCCATCCCCCAACCACAACACACACACTCAGCAGCGTGTATCCACTTTGATTTCCTAAACACGAAACTGACTTCACCGTTGAAACAGTGAGGCATTTCTCTTGAAGTGCTAACTTTGTGCTGGTGTAGCGTTGCTTGCGCTTGAATCTTGCTCTAAAGTTTAAATGCAAGCGGTTGTACTCAAAGCCCAGAGAGAAGCTTGGCTTGAACAAGCAGCAAAGGCATAATGGCTTTAACAGAGTCTTAGATGGGAACGCTACACTCAAAACTTCTGCAGTTTTTTCTTCTCCAGGAAATGTGCCCCACCAAAAAAAAAGCCTTTTTTACATGCAGATTAGTTCAACTAAAGCTGATGTAACACAAAGCTCAGACCAGATTGCTTTTCAATACAGAGGGATGCTGAATTGCAGCCACATGAAAAAACAAAACAAAATGCTTCAGCTCCTTCCGCTGAGGCCGCAACAGTTAATGCAGCTTACATTTCATTTCATGATAATATATTTTAGAAATAAAAATCTTTATAAAATGAAAAAATGTTTACTAGCTAAAATGAAATTAAAAACAAAACAGAACAATGAATAAAACAAAACAAAAAATAGAAATATAAGCTAAAATAAAACAAAGTCAAATAATAAAATGTAAAATGATAAATCAAGTGAAAAAATGCAAAATAAACCAATGGAAAATAAAACAACAAATAAAATCATAAATAGAGCTATTATAGCAAATACACTTGAAGACGTGATATTTACCTGAAGGAGGTCATCACTCAGGACTTCTGTTTTTTCAGCTCTGTGGAGGAAAAACACAGATCAGAAGATTTATTATACAATGCTGTTACCCAAATGCTGACCTGCGTATTTGCATGTGTTTGTGTACGTAAACGTAGCATTTATTGCCATTTTTCAGAACAATCCAATGTTGTTTCAACCACACTGCTTGGAGTTTACTAAAGCAGGTCAGCAAACCCAGCTCCTCCTGTGCACAGGTTGTTACAAATGCCTGCAGCGAATAGAAACCTGGTATTAAACGTCACCTATTGAAGACCTGTCAGAGAGCATGAGAGCTTCAAATTAACGTGCATCATGTGTTCAGCCAAGCTCCAGGAGTATACACTAGCGGCCAAACTGAACCTGTCAGATTCCTCCACCCAGTCTGAAAAGCACACTTCTTGACTCATCGGCAACCTGTTTGTTGTAGCAACAGGGGCCAATGTGTGGATGCATGTGTGCATGAGGGTGAGAATCGCCATGAGGCTTGTTGATGTCAGAAACACACTACGCTTTTTGTGACACAATCTGGGTATAAACAGCGTCATGTCATCGCTCTAAAAGCTTCAAGGAAATGTTGACAGGGTCGCCTTCGAGAGCACCTGCAGTTTGCAGGCTTTTAGCTCAATGTGTTTTAACCTGTATCGTTTCCAATCGAAGTCTAACAAATGTGCCGCGAGTTGTGTCTCCATACAAAACTCCCCGTAGATCTCGTCTGTCTCTGCAGCAGTCTGAGCGCACGCCGTGAATCTAAACCTCGCAGGGATCAATTAACCATCTCCTGCTCAGACATGAGGTATTACACAATGCTGTTATGAGCTTCTTAGAATATGATCCTTATGTTCCACTCTCTGCATACGGTAAAGGCTTACATCACTGGGGCCTCAGATGCCCTCACTGTTCATAAAATTAAAAAAGGAAAAGCAAGACTACCTCTGCTGCAGTCAGAGATTTAAAAACAATAAAACATTTTGTCAAAAAATAGCTGGGAACTATATTGCATTTGATTTAATTTTAGGGATGTCGGAGTAAATCTAAATGCACATCAGCAAATGAGCATTTGTAAAAAAATTATTTCACTTCCTGATTACCGACTGGTTTGCTGGACAGTAACATGACATCCCAGTAGAAGAACTTTAGTTTCGGTTCTTATCACATCATCACATTAGGCATCAGACTGCAGCGGCGAGCCTCTAAAGGAATGAGCTACAACAACAATCTCATGATTCTTATCAATACTGAATTAGCATTGATCCGGCTTAGAGTTGGGCAGCAGCTACTGTTCTAAGAATAGACTCCTTCAGACAGAGGCTCGGCGCGGGGCGTGTGCTGTGCATGAAGACGTCACGTGCTATACACTAATTTTTTGAAACCACGTTGAGTAAATGAAGAAAATATAAATCCAACCATGTCCCTGCGTCACTTTGCAGCCTCTGATTTTATTAAAATAACTCGGTTAAAGCTGTTTGTAAACACTGCTGTGTTTGAACTCTGGTGATTCAACCGCCTCCTGTTAATCGAATGCAAATCCAGCTGGTTTCCTCCTTTATGAAAAGAAAGAGACTTTCTTTGTTTGAGCCAGCGCCACCCGGTCCTCAACGCTGGGAATGCTTACTCCACAAAATCCCCTCGGTGTGCTGCCCGTGGCAAACTGTCCCAACCTGCTCCGCCGACCACACACTATCTGTAAAGACCAGCTGTGTTGTTGTTTGTGTGTTGTCATACCTTGTGCAGACTCTTTTAGCTGTGGATTGTTGTGCATTAGAACCAACTTTCAATTCAATTTCAAAAGGATTATATCAGAACCAGCTGGTTGTGGTTTTAATTAAGCATAAGAACCTAAGCTATTTATGTTTTTTTTTTGTTGTTTTTTTTTAGCTTGCACTTGTACTTTTTAAGCATTTCAAGCAGGGTTAACCCTTCCCAAGCATAATCCAGGGAGGGCGTGTGCTCGCAACAGTTTTGCTTCCCAATAAAGCAACCTCTGAGCAGGGCTTAGTTGATTTTTACTGCCGTTACACAACGTGTGTGGAGCAACGACTGGAAGGAATCCATGGCCAAGCCCCTCGGAGTGATGGACAAGTCACTCTGAGGAAGCTCGTGCATGGAGAGGAACCACAGATTTATTCAGTGGCGTACAGTAATAGGTGGAAACACCGGCTCAGCTGTGGCTGACGGAGGACGAGGAGAGGTTGCCCCATAGGGACAGCGAAGAGGGCAGAGGCCGGGGTTGGGTAGTCTAATCAGCTGTGCCATCAGGAAATGAGTCCTAAACCAAATCTGAAGAAATTCCACTCCCGGAGAGTACAAAACCTAGATCTGGGACATTTAGATAGATATTTTATTTTTTAGTTCTTAGAATTAAATCAAAAAGACTGATTAAAGTAATCAAGTTAAGTATTAGCCTATTATTAACAGCATTAACACAGTTGATCGTGAAGCTTTTAGTGTTATTTTATCAAGGGACAAAAAAATATATCTCTTTCTTATGGTACATATGGAATATAATATTAAAACAGTTCCAGTATAAATAAAATTAATTTAAAAAACTGTAAATAATATGACTGTGTCTGTGTCTTTTATGTCTTTGACTCATAATTCAGAGTTAAGAAATGCCCACCCTTCATGTCAGATATTTGTACATGTGTTATATGTCTTTATGTGTGGATTTAAGAAAGAAACAAAAATAAATGATTTGATAATACTAATTTATTCATTCATTTTTCCACCATACGCTTTCTTATTATTGCTCCAGTCTTGAATGTCTGTCAATAACTCCTGGCCTCAACTTCTAATGACATCAGGTTGACATATTTTTGGCTAAAAAAAAAATAAAAATTGGAGAAATTGCTGAGTTTTAAAGTCATGAACGAAAGAAAAATGAATACACAAAAACATGAACTTATAAACTACTACAGACTATTTCTACCAGCCCAATTGTTTTTAATGGGACCTATTGCCACAGCTGCTTACATTAAAAAAAAACAGCTTGGGTGTGCCACCACAGGATTATTATTGGCCCCCGTTGCGTCGCCCACTGGAAAAGGCTTTGGATACGCCCATGTCCCATTCAGAAACACTGTTACATACCTGGTTCATTAGATCGGTTAGGTTAGGACTGCTCCTTAGTCATTCTGTTCACTCTAAAATATCCACCAAGATTGTCTCCAGTTTTATGCAATAAACATAAGCTAAATTCAAAAAGGCTAACATTATGAATAAAAACATAAGATGCGAACTTCGAGGAAGCGTTGATTCGACTCAACTTTTACTTGTCCAGCGATCATTTTTAAAGAGTTAAACGCCTCTAGTTTTTTAAACCATTTTACACGACAAAACAAAACATCAAACATGTTTTTTTTTTCCAACTAAACTTTTTTCTTCCCTAAAATCTCCTCCGAGTCCTTCCGACGCCGCCCACAACAACAGAAGACCCAAAGCGACCACATCTAACATTATCACCGTCTGCCAGTTTAAAGCGCGGCGTCTGCCACCAGATCCGACGCTTACCTTCCAACAGTCTGGTTGGCCAGCTGCTTCATGCGATTGAACTGCTTCTTCATGCTGAAAGTTGCCCTCCAAGTCTCCTTCTAGTCCGAAAAAAAAAAAAGTCACCAACAGACCCGAGTCCGACTCTTGATCATCCACCCCTGGATCCAAAAGTTGCGCTACGTCGCAGCCATTGTTATTTTCGCTCCGGTCACTTTTTTTTTTCTTTTTACGCAATAAATCTGAGAGGCTTTCAGAACCGATCCGGCTTGACATTCGCCGCCGCTTCGGGTCGAACCTCCGCTCCCTCAAACGAAGTCAGTGTTTCGGAGCTTTGACAGGCCCCTGGCTCCCCATTGAAAAGATCAGTTTCAACAGACGGGCTTTCGGAACAAGGAGAGGTAGGAAGGAGGAAGTGCCTCTACTTCCCGACTGTAAGCAAGCCGCATGGCCCCCTGCTGACATGTGACACCTCTGCAAGAACAAGCCGTCGGTCTCACTCTGTTGCTTTGTTGTCATTGCCAGAATAAATCTGCTTACAATCCGTGCACAGTTTAATGATAATGGGAAAACACATAAACAGGGCTAAAATGGTTGCTCAGCTGGAACTTTCCAGTTGTTTGGAGCCTCTCCCAAAGTCTCTTTTAATTCTTTTGTGTCGGATCGGATTTATTTTGCAGCTTCTATGTTCGTTTCGAACAACTGAGCAGAAATCATAGTGACCTCAAGCAACTTCTGTGAATGGGAGGCCCCTCACCTCCTTAGTATCTGGGTTTTTACTCCATATTTCTTGACTGTAGCTGCTCCTTCCATGCTTATGATGCTCCCGCTATTATTTTCTGAATAAGAAGATAATTCCCCCCCCCCCCCAGGACATTTGCACAACGTGTTCAAATCGACAGCTGGTTTTTAGAGTGAACTGCTGCCACCTTGTGGATACTGAGTGTAACGACAGCTTCTAGACAACAGCTCTCCATTCTAAGGAGGCCAAGTTGTAATTAAATTCCTAATCAGTCGTTTTGAGAAGCTGGATTGAGAGCTTCTGTGAACGTAAATGTAAAACAAATGACGTTTTTCTTGAAAAGCGTATTTATTTATTTTTTCATCTTGTGGCAAGTTGAGAATCCTGCCACAGATTCTCAACCGGGTTTTGAATCAAAACGATTTTATTTGAAGCATTTTCTTAGCTCAGATTACATGTTCAGGGTTGAAGGTGTATTGATTCCTATCAATCTTACCTTCATCTCCAATCAGCTTCACCCAGAGGAGTATTTCCACCACACACTGCTAGGCTGATGCTTGTTTTGTCAACCAATTAAGATTCTAGTTCAAATCTGACAAAAATAAAAATGTTCACCACTATAAATACTTTAAGTCAGAATCATACACTTTTAAGATTCGTCATAGTTTTTCAAGAACACGATGTTTCTTTCTAGAGCTGCTGATAATCAGCTCAGTCTTTGCTCTGTCTATCAATCCAAAATGATAATATAAATATATTTCCGTGAATGATAAATTACAAACTGACCTCCACAAAAGTCTCTCAGACACAAACTCCTTTCAGCTGTAGATTTATTTAAAGTATTTCAACCACAAATGTTTCCCACTTTTTTTCTAAAAAAAAAAAAGAGAGAGAGAGAGACCAAATAGCAACCTTTTCAAAGCCAAACGACGTGTCTTCTGCAGCTTTGTGCTCCTGCTCCTCTATCCCGCCTCTCTATAGCTGCAGAGGTGAATGCCGGCGTGGCTCTGGAGGGTGTCATGCTGTTTCCATATTGTACCCCTGGGCCTCCCCACAGCAGTGGCCCACATGGGAAAGCAGGCCAGGCAGTGGGATAAACCAATTACTCCCCACGTCATAGCGGACTCCTGCCGCTGCACCATGCCGCGGCTCCGGGCCCCGAGCCCTCCTAGGCTCTGTCCCCTTGAGAGCCAGCTGGAATTCCCAGAGACGGGAATTGTGTGGTCTCAAAAGCCTGCAGAGAAACTATATTTCGCTTGAAAAATTGACATGTGCCCTCCTGGGAAAGAACTGGGGGAGGCGATATCATACTGGGTTTCTGCAGAGTTTATTTAGGGGGAAACATGATGTAGCTATGATGAGCTAGATTAGCCTTCATATGTAAATGTTTAGTTACATTATTATTTGGGATGAGTGCTTTATCTTCACACTGAATGGTCTTTATCACAAATAGAAACAAAATCAGGGAGGAAAACCATGTATGTGTAATGTCGTCAATGTAACTAAGAGTCACATTAGTCTGTTCCCTACTGACTGAAATAGGTAAAAAGAGACACAAAAACAAGAAGACAAAATATAGTCTAATCTAGAAACATCCTCTACAGTAGTAGTTGTGAGAAAACACTTTTATGAATAGGGCACTAAACATGCAGAGTATTTATTATCTATGCTGAATTAAGTGTCAGTTTTAGCTAAGATTTTTTTGTTTTTAGCTCTTGGAAGTTTAAAGAAAGAAGCGTGCATGATAAATATAAATGTATTTAGATGTTAAAAATGTATGAGAGAAAAAAATGAATTCAAAGCTTCAGACTCACATTTTATTGTGGACTTAGAAGAATGTTAGACTAAATAGCCGTAATACACAAAATATGAACTAATGGTTTTTCTTGCGGCACATGATGCATGTTTATTATGATGTGGGTCAACATTTGGGTTCTATTGAACCTGATTAGATAAATAATTGGGCTAAAGCGCCACCCATGTATGGAGGCTTTACTCTATGACACGGCAGTCACAGGTTTGATGACCTTTGCTGTGTATCTTTCCCCTTTCTTATCTGACCACTACAGCCTGTAACACCTTTAAAAACATAATTCAAGTAAAAATAAACAACAACAGGGAGAAATGTTGTTGCGAGCGTTAACCCCATTTCATCCTCCTTCTTTCTTTGACTTTGGAGCCCTGATGGCCTTTTTCTTTGACCACAGCTGCAACAACGGTTGTTATGTCTGCTAGAAGCCTTGTCGCCACAGGGCCATTGTGCGCTCGTCATTCTCCGCTCAGTCATTTACACTTTCATTGGCAGCTATTTAGTTCTCATAAAAAGTTTAGCTCACCAATTTGTGAGCTCAGCCCAGCCTGGGAGAGAAGCGTGGAAGAGCTTAGAAAGCAGTTGCTTTAAAAGTCCATTAATTGTTCTCTTGGCTGGGAGGGGACAGGGGGATGCCTGGGATTTGCGGGGCCTCACATCTGTCTGTTTGTCTTCTTGAGCCAAGAAGAAAACCAAAAAGAAAAGTCCTGATTCTGATTCGGACTCTGACTTGTGGTGATCTGGGAATACTCTTCAAAACTGTTATCATAATCGTGTTATCATGTAGGAAAGGGGACGTGTTGAACAGTTCTCCAGGAAATCCCTTTCTCCTCAACAACCGGATGAGGAGAGAAGGCGAAGATTCTGAGGAGAAAACAAAACGTACACAAAGAAAGAGGAACGAGGGTTTAATTTATTGATCTGGGGGATTCTGAATGAATGATTGGAAATATCAGCTTTATTACTAAATAATTGAATAATCACAAATATACATTTCAATGTTTGTAGGTGGTTCAATTAAAGAGACCAGTAAAAAGTTACAAATTAAACACATTAAAGTACTTTTTTATTATTATTTATTTCCTCAGAAAATAATTAAACTATATTCATCTGATCTGTAAAAAACAAACAAACATATAAACGTACAGGTCTTTAAAAGGTATTCATATTTTGATATCTTTTACACATTTTGTCACCTTACAACAATAAAACTCAGCCACCTTCACTCTGATACCCCAAACAAAAAATGAACTAAAATACACTAACGTTATTTGACAAAATGTGAAAAACACTGTGTAAACTAAAAGAAAATCTTCATAAAATAAAAAGTGTGAATATCAGTAACTTTAAATTTTATTGCCAGTCTGGAAACAAATGCAACTAAACTAAATTGCTATGATGGGAAACAATATAACATAATCTTCTACAGGCATATGTGTGTACAAGCCTAAACTCACAAAGCCAAGCTGTGAGGACAAATAGCCCACCTTAGTCTTCCCTCCCACCTCAGATCATAGAGCACCGTTTGCACAGAGATCGCAAAGAGAACAACTGCTAATGTGAGGAGAGCTTAAAAAGAGAGCAGCAACCCAACCCCTCGTAAGTCTCCCAGGACTAAAGGCAGTGATTGGAGACAGACAAAGGCGGCCACTTTCTGAGCCCCAGTTCAGGAGGCCCTGCTGTTCTTCTCCTCCACATGTGTTTCTCAGCAGCATTTCAGCAGTTTTGTGCCTGCTGCTGAACCTTGATGCCACCTTGTTGGCACATGACAGCTTTACAAGGTTCCGGCAGCGCCTTTACAGAATCCATTTGGGTCCAAAAACCACACACCTCTTCAGTCCAGAGGGAAGTCGCAGGAAGTCCTTCGTCCTATCCTGGCCTTGTGGTAGACAGAGAGGAAGTCTTTGTAGCGTGGGGCGCACCCTAACCAAGCTTCCCCAAAGTGCTCTGACCCTGTGAAGAGGAACTGCCCATCCCCAGGCTTTACGTGGCACTGCAGGAGCGTCCGGATGTGTCCGTGCCAGGACTGAGAGGACATATATGGACGCATTTGTTGCACAAACACTCCACTCCGCTGCCAGTAAACCTTTGTTGTCAACACCTCCATTAGTGATGACTGCCTTCTAGCATCATGGGAGACATTCTTGATGAAGCCTCGAACCACAGCAAAAAATTAAAATGCATTTTTTGAAAAAACATCACAGGTGCCACTTGTGTAAGATTCCTTTTTCTAGCAGGACAGTTTTTGACACCTTGTAGACAATTCGTAGCAAATACACCTCAAAACACCACTCATCCAAGATAGTATAGATATACGACTAATGCCTGCTGTGGCACATTTTACACATACAAAGGAACCACTTTGCTGACATCTAGTGGTTGGAGTTTTGTAAAAAAATGCCTGTTTTTACACATGCTGAAAACCGAAATGTGTTTTAAAACCGAAATGTGTTTTATGAATGATGCTCAAATTGCATGATGCTAATTCATTTCAGGATGTTAGGAAGTTTTCACATTGTTGGATCATACAGGGAGAGAACATTCCACTCTCTATAGTCTCTCTCGATGAGGAGTACTGAATATCAAAATCGCATAGACAGCAGGCCAAACCTAAAAACTTACAACATGCTATGGCCCCGCTTTAATGTTTGTCTAAAATCTCATGTTACGGTACATTTTGGTGTTTCCTCCAAACATAATACTAACAGCTCTGTGCTTTACCAAATATTCAGCTTCTTACCCTCCTTCTGTTTTCCGTCCTTCCTTGGGTCATTTGTTGGAGGTGTGGGACAATGTGACTGGTAGAACCATGAGGTTGCTCATGAATAAGAGGAGGAGTGTGTCAAACTCACCAGCAAAGGATTCTGGGA